CCCAGCAACTATTGTTTTTCCTTAAAAAAAATCCTGGTTATATTTGCCAGTGAATGTTGAACAATAGCAATTAAACTCCAGAGTTTCCTTGGGTGTATCCTTCTATGCATAAAGAATAACAGTGACCTCAGGTTTCTGGGACCCGTTAAGATTAATGTTAAAGCTGCTGACCCTCCACCCTGTCCTTCTCTCTCAAACACACTGCAGGAGCAGAACTCTGTGTTCCCCTCAGCGCTTCACATCTTTCATCCCAAGGACCGACGGTTTTTCCAGATACATTCTGGGTACGGGCACAGCAGGGGCGAACCTTCAGCCCAGCCAAAGGCACTCAGCACCAGTGATAACTGTAACAAAGATTTAGGGGACACAGTATCTGTCAGTATATATGCTGTGATCAGCAGAAATTCTAGTCATTATGTTCCATATGCTTCAATTTTGTTACTTTTTAATGTAATACCCATCTGTGTACACTTGAGGGAGCCATCAGCTAGGAGTACTCTTTTGTCCTCTTTTGTAAGTACATTTAAATAGTTTGTAAGTAATCTTAAATACTGCATAAACTTCATGTATTGTACAGGAAATAAATAAATACATTGTATGTATATTTAATCAGTGCATAAGTCATTTGAAGTGGTGCCTAAATTCTGCTATTCTGCTGTACTTTTCAAGGCACAGGCCATATTATCTTACTGCCAGGTGACTTTACAGAAAATGTGAAACTCTGTGCACTCTTTTCGAAAGTTGTGTTGAACAGTGATTGTTAAAGTTAGACTTGGCCGCATCATTTATGATGTAAGATGAGGAAATATTGCTCATGTTCACTGCAAAACTACCACAAAACTGCACACTACTTGAAATTACTTCACAGTATTTAAATTTACTTAAAGTATAAATATTTCTTATTACGCATTATTACACTTTATTATTCAAGTGTGCCCATCTTTAAGTATTTGTAGGTAAATTAATTATATTGTAATTTCAAATGAAATATGTTAAAATTCCATTTAATTACAGTTTAATTATGCTCTTGATCAGTGGCTGTATTATAAAGTGTTACCTTAATTTATCCCAAAAAACATGAATAAGTTGCCTCTTAAATTTTTAGCAATAAATTGAACATGTAGCATCCTTTGCTACAAATGTAGCAAAGGATGTAGCAAAAAAACAAATGCTACAAATTGAACAAACTGTTATTTAATTAATTTTTTTTTTTTTTTTTTGTCCAAAGGTTCAATAAACACTCCAGCTTTAAACAAATAGTTGGGTTTTATGCGTCATCATGGTAGGGGAAATGAGAGAACATACACATTTGTTTTTCATCAATTTTTTTTCCAGTTTCTGTTTACTACAGTGCATGTAAGCCATGCTCTTTTCTGTCTTGATCCCTCTTTTCCAACAGCTGAATGTGCGTCAGACAGTTAGCGGGACAGTGAAGCTGCTTTTACTTTGTGTTTGTGTCTCACAGGGAACAGGAGAGCAGTGAGTAAGGTGTTGGGTGTAGTCTCAGCGCACAAAGTGAAGATGAGCTGACCTCCCAAAAACAGGAGCCATCATTGTCTCGCTGGAGACAGAGGGGCATATTGTTCTGATTGTGTAAAATCTCACGGCTGCCTGGGGACTGGTCTCTTTGTGCTCTGTACTCACAACAGGCGTAAGGCTTTTGTAAGTCAGAGATGCTTTATAATAACAAATATTTGGAAGTGCTACAGTGGACACGCCCAATCAAATGTTCTTAAAGACCTAAACGAAGAACAGTGGGAGGTTTCCAAGCTAAGTTTTTCTCAAGTTCAGAGTTCAGATTACCAGTGGAAAAGGAAAAGGGTCCATTTGCAGTCCTAAAGTTTTCTTTTAAACTCCAAATAACCACATTGACGAAATGATTAATAGAGTCATCATGAATACCAAATGAAACCCATCGAAGGCTTCACTGTGAAACAAAACCCACAGACTCACGGCTGTACCTGCGGCAGATTTAACACCAGCATATTTGACTCACTGCTGTGGAACAGAACATTTCATAATAAACAGTCTGCTAGCAGCGCCTACTGTAAGGAGGAGCTGCAGTACATGCACCCACAGATAGCATGCCATTGCACTTTCCCAGTGTTTCCATTGTGCACTTTATTTCTCCCAGAATCCTCTGCAGGGACTGCTTCCCCCAACCTAAAATTCCTCATCAGACAGTCTTTCCAGCCAGCACCAGTATCTGCCACTTTACATGGCAAAAGGCTTATTATTTACACGCTGGTGAAATGTTTGAAATCAAGAAATCTTTTTAGGTGATTCCTTTGATTAGCTTTTTATTTTTCGAGACAACAGCAGTAGCAAACGAAAAGAAGAAAAAGCCACTTTCACATTTCAATGTTTCATTGCAGCAGATGTTACTAAATGCTCACAGTAGCACAAAAAGGCACAAAAGGGGACATCATGATAATACACACGTTTCACAGCAAGTCTAATGGTCCAGTGTGGTGTACGGTATTTTCAGGTAGGGATTAGTTTTAGTAGCTATTAGTTTTTTGTCTTTCAAAATAAATATATCTGTAAAACAAGCTATTTTGGGATAATCAGTGAAAACAGAAGTAATTAATTTTTTCCTTTTCTTTCAGTACAATAACGTGGTTTTATAACTGAAAATGAACAGCATGCCTACAGCTCTGGGAATTCGGGGGAAAAACATGCACATTTCACGTTTCCAGAGAGCAGCTGATTCAGTTGAAGGCAGCACTTTACATTCGGCGTCACTGGAGGGCAGCAAGACTTCAGAGTACAGTGCTGGTGCAGAGAATACAGCACAGCGGGAAGGAGGAACAATACAGTGCTGAGAAAAGTTTGCTTTCAGCGTCATCACCATTTTAATAGAAAATCAGAACTGCTAATGAACGAGTGCATAAAAATCTAAGAAAAGCTTAAAGCACAAACATGAATTCTCACTTGAAAAAAAAATCCACACTGACTGGATATTAACTCATTTGATATTATAAAGGTTAAAAAAAAAAAGGCAGTAATTGCAATCAATTTTTATGTTACCGTGCATCCGGAAAGTGTTCACAGAGCTTCACTTCTTCCACATTTTGTCATGTCACCTAAAAAGTCTACACACAATTCCCCATAATGACAAAGTAAAAGAAACGTTTGCTTGAAATTCTTAAATATTTATTAAAACTAAAAGACAAAAACATGACATGTATATAAGGATTGGCAGCCTTTGCTCGATACTTTGTTGAAGCATCTTTGGAAGCAATCACAGCTCCCTTAGGTTGGAGCGGTGCACAGCTGTTCTCATAACTCTCCAGAGATGAGAGTTTGGGCTCTGTCCCGAAGCCACTCCTGTGTTGTCTTGGCTGTGTGCTTGCAGTTGCTGTCCTGTTTGAAGATTAACCTTCGCCCCAGTCTGAGGTCCAGAGCGCTCAGGAGCAGGTTATCGTCAAGGCAGCATTCATCTTTACCTGATTAGTCTCCCAGTTCCTGCTGTCAAAAAACATCCTCACAGCATGAAGCTGCCGCCTCCTTGCTTCACTGTGGGGTGGCATTGATCGACTGATGTCCAGCTCTTAGTTCAGTCTTTGTTTCATCGCACCATCCTTCAGGTGCCTTTTGGCAAACTGCAGGCAGGCTGTCATGTGCCACACAAGCCTGACTGGTGGAGTGCCGCAGAAATGCTTGTCCAGAGCAATGCTCGAGTGACCATCTGGTTTTTGGACACCTCCCTGACTAAGGCCCTTTTATCCCAATCGCTCAGATGTTGGAACAAATACGGAAAAAGTGAAGCACTGTGAATACTTTCCAGACACACTATGTAAACACAACATTGTAATGTGAATTATTTGAACTGTAGGATTCAGAATGCATCATTTTACATTAAGAGTTAAGAATCCCTTTGATGTTGGTCTGATGAACCCTCCCCTCCCCGTGGTCGCAGTCAGGGTGCGGTACTCTGTAGCTAGGTGAGATATGAGGCTCGGAGCTCTTGTTGTCATCATCAAAAAAACCACAAGAGGACGAAGATCAAGAGCTATCCATTTCCACAAAGGCTGGCCCCTCAGCGACAGCGACACATAATCAAGAGCAACGCAGCTGATTTACTGTAGGAGACTCTTGACCTCCACGTGAATTCACCTGGGGAGTTGAAAAAAAAAGGGTCACATTTCATGTTATCATAATTTCTGTGATTGATATGTGTCGGAGCAGTTTGCTAGTTTCTGGCACACGTTAACCTGAGCTTTGATCAAAGGGAAACCAAAGCTGAGCGCAGATAACCTGAAGGGCAGCACACAGTCCTCCTTTGCAGGGCTCCGCTGTGCTCTATTTCTAGTGTCAGCCCATGTTAAGGTTTATATTCCTTCTAAGCTCTGCGAGGCCCTGAAATAGAGTGACAAGCTGTCTCCATAAATACAGAGCCCCTATGGGAGAACATAATTGCTTTGTGATCTTATATCGGCCTTCACGGTGTCCTTCACTGCTGTGGAGGAATCCTTTTCTGTCGTCTACATGTGGTAACAGCGACTTAGTGAGATTACTGCCTTTCATTTAGGCCCGACTCTCTTGTTCAAAAAGGTCGCCCAGAGGCTGCTCGTGTCTGCTTTGACCCCGGGGACCCTGACACAGTAAATAAAGTCAGTCAGGTGGGGTGGGGCCTGCCTTTGTTTATAAAAGGGGTAAAAGCATCATGGGGAGAAAGAAAAAAACAAACAACAGGTGGGCTGCCCTCTTTTAGATTGTTTCAGGGATTGGATTAGCTCAAAGACAGTTAGGGCTTGAGTTCACTGTCATTCCTGACTTGCTAAATTCAGAGATTTGCTGAATTCTTGTCAGTTTGCATCACCGGACCAGTGCTGCAAAGGAGATGCGGCTTGATGGTATGATTAAAAAAATCATGGCAAATAAGAGTCTAAGGTGTCCGGTGAATGTAATGCCATTATAGATTCTTCTCAGGGTGACAGGGCAGTCACGTGGTAAAATATCAACCCAAGCAGTTGTTGCTTCTAACAGTATTAAAGTCAGACCCACTCGGATCTTTTCTCCTGCCCATCGTCGCCCGTCTGCAGCTCTGCGCTGCAGCCAACCTCAACAAGTGTATACTGGCCCACCTTTCTGGTACAGATTGCTGTTGCTGTGGAAATATCTCCCACTGGGGCACATGGCCCCACAGAGGGAAAACCAAGGTCACGTCTGGGTGGGGGTGGAGGTTTGAGTCGGCCCCGTTTGCTAACACGAATAGATCTGGGCGTCCCCATGGGCTCCAAGGGACAGAGAGCCACCTCGCTGCCGGCCCTTTCTGGAGCCTCCTCCTGGGAGACCGAGTCGGCATTGTTACCGTTGGTGGTGCAGCCCATCGGGCCGAGAGAACGAGGAAGAGAGTAGCGCTCCATGGAGGGAGGTTCTTGAGCTAAATCACGTTTCCCTACTCCACAAGACCCTTTGCTGCCTCTCCTCTTCAGGAAACCCCCCTTTTGCCCGTCTTGTGCTTCCTGCTCTTGGTCGTTGCCCCTGGACGCTCCTCCCGCTGAAAGGAAGCATTGCTCCTCTTCTAGTATTTTCTCAACCATCATCTTCCTCTTGCTCTTCTGTCTCACCAAGCGCTTGACGGTGCAGATAAAATCCAGCACATTCAGGAAAAAGGACAGAGCGGCCACGCCGAGCATAAAGTTGAGCATCACAGTCTTCTCAGTGGGCCTGGAGATGTAGCAGTCCACCTGAGTAGTGCACGGAGCATGCTGGCAAAGAAACCTCCTGGGGATGTAGAAACCAAACAGATAGTAGTGAGCTGCTCCAAAGCCTGCTTCCAGCAGAGTCCTGAACATCAGATGGAGGATGTAGGCTCCACTGAAGGACCGGGCCCACCCTCGCTGCTCTACCGCGAGAGGCAACTTGTTGGACGGCTCCTGTCGGATTCTGAACAGCTGAAAGGCTTTGGTTTGTTTCTGGGAGTTCAGCTCCACCGTGAGGGCGTTGGACACCTTATGGACCACGTAGATGACAAAGAGGATGTAAGGGATGCACACGGTGACAAGCTGCACCAGCCAGAAGCGGAAGAGTGAAACAGGAGAAAACAGATCGTAGCACACGTTGGCGCAGCCAGGCTGGATGGTGTTGCACACAAATCTCTCCTGCTCATCCTGGTAGAGAGGATAACCGGCGAAGAGGAGGATCAGGACACGGAGGAAGATCATCACGACGAGCCACACCTTTCCTGTGGGGAAGAAAAGGAAAACAAATTAATGTGATTATTCAATCAGCCTAAAAAAACTGAGATTACCCCTCATGATCTTTAGTTTAACTGCAATATCTAAAGCCATAAATAACAATTTAAAACAAAACTAGAGGCAACTCACCCATTAAAGTCATGCTGTGATTGACAGAGATAAAAAGCACCTCTGAGGCACTTGATCCCGCCATGTCTGTTATGCTCAAGGGCCTCCAAAATCGTCAGGTCCTCCAGTTTCGGACCAAAGGCTAAAATCATTAAGCCAGCACTCCACTTCCTATCCACTTCTTGTCTCTCCTCTAGCCTTTCCACAAAGGATCACGTAGGCTCCCAGGTGGGCAGCATGACACTCCAATTCTCTCACCCAGTCCCTGCGGGTAAAACTGTATCAGATTCATCTGAATCACCCAAGCTTCTGAAAGGCTGAGTGAAGTTAGCACACCACCTTACCTCTTCCTCCGTCCCCTGCAGACAACCGTCTGTCCTCAGACAACAGAAGACAGGCGTGAGCCCCATTGTCGATCTATTCTTAACCCACTCGCAAAAGCTCACCGCTGTCCTGGCATTGCAAAGATATTTTGGTGCTGTTGGTTGTCTTTACAGGAGAGGAACAAGCCTCCCGGCTTACTCATGCTAAACTACTGTATTAGGTTCTTCACCACAATGGTAGGCATGCTCGAACAGGCCGCTCCATAAAAATATAAGAAGCTACTGAGGCATTTTACAATGACAAATAAAGATAACGTGCAGATATGCAGACAGTGGATTTGCTCTCGTGAAACATAAGGAGGTTGTAAACTGCATTTTCCCACAGCTGATAGCAGTTTATGGCTGTTAAGGATTTACTGGAAGCTCGCATAATACGGCTAGGAAATACAGCCATGTTTAATCATTTGTCTTAAAGACAGCACAGGTGTATGTATGCTATATATGTATATACACACATATATATGTATATAGACCATGAGAGAGAGAGACTGACTCTCTCCTGTACAGAGCACAGATTCCCCATGACGTTAGTTTGCTGAGGGCACACATGGGTAAAGACAGTTGGCTTGGCTCATAATTACTACAGATCAGTGATCATTAGCACGTCCACGCTTGCCCACACACACAAAAAATCCCACTCAGAAGTCTGTTATGACTGATTTTATTTTGCCCGTGATGACCTTTTCAAGACAGCATAAGAAATTTGTGCAGCTGCTCCGGTTGAGTTCAAAGCAACAGCTAACGGCACAGTTTTAGCAGTAAAAGAGCCTCAACTGCTACCCTCTCTCTCCCTCCCAGAGGAGTGGCGTGGACCACAATCTGTATTTGATTTAAAGTAGAATGTGGCATCCACTCTGATTGGTTTCTATAAAAGGGGTAACCCAGGGGTAGGCAACTCCAGGCCTCGAGTGCCGGCATCCTCACTCACGTGATATCTAAAACCTGCAGGACACCGGCACTCGAGGCCTGGAGTTGCCTACCCCTGCTTTAGAAGAAAGAATGACAGGCAAAACATTTTTAAAGTCATTTCATAGTTTGATTTAAAACAAACAAACAAAAAAAAGCTAACGCTTTTCACATCAAACTCTCAAACTCACTACATTAAAATATGAGGCCATAATGGCATAATATCCCCAGGAAAGCTTTCCATCCTCCCCATTAGACTGTGGCTTTGGTAGATGCATTTTCCATTCAAGCCAACAATCGTTTTCGTTTCAAACTTGGCTGCTCCTCACTTATCTAATTACTTGGAAAAGTTCCCACCTAAATAATTACCTGAACATCCACCTGATCCACAGCCGTCTCCCATCTCCTAGGAAATGATGCATGAGACGTTTGTGTTTGCTTCCAATGAACACGAGTGACAAACTTTCCAAAAGATTATAAAAAGGCTTGGGATATAGCATTGAATATGAACATACAGGGTGAGAAATTTCTAATTTGATAAAACACGTAATGCTTGTCCTGTGGGATCAGTGTCTTCATCTTAAAGCTGTTTTTATATTGACAAAAGATCAAATGTGATCAACTGTGAAACGTTTAACCCTTGTATGGTGTTCGGGTCTGTGAGACCCGTGTTCAGTTTTTTTCAAAAGAAAAATTAAACAATTAATGATTTTTTCACGTGTAAATGTGTTGTGTCTTTCCACTCACTCCACTTGATTATAACTGATTTATTTATAACATTTTATATAAAAGAAAAACGAGAAGCACATTAATTCATAAATGTGATCTAATAAAGGTAAAGGGAAAAAATTAACCATGTTTGCTGTTCATATGTCTTGTAATTGGGATGAAGTAAACATCTGTTGAGTAATTTAACATAAAATTGTTTGATAGTGTTAATTTGGAAAGCCAAAACTCTAGCGGGTCCACCAGACCCATGAACACTGGCTGAGTAACAAAAATACGAACACCACACAAGGGTTAAGTAGCGATGAACCCTACTGAGAATTCTTTCAGCACCTTTAATGATATTGTCTAATGATGTCACTCCTCATTGCAGATCAGAGCAAATTTTACATCTCCATTCCGGACAAAGTTTAGCTTTTCTGACTCTTCATTCAAAGTATTTGACCAAACTTTAATCCAAATGATCTGAAATGTTTGAGCAGTTTGCAAAAAGGCAGCAGAGACACCAGGAAGAACACTGCAAGCTCCAGAAACACCCCTGCTAGGTTTGAGGTGGATCAGATGAACAGGAGTCGAGATAGCAGAGGAAAAGGCAAACAGATGGACGTACAGAGATTTCTCTAATTATTAGCAAGATCTAACTGGCTTGGGGAACATTAAAACTATTGGTAACACTGTAACAGGACTAATCTATCCTGTTGTACCAAATTTTACAGTTGCTTCAGTTCATCAACGTTTTCCGGCATTAATTTATCCCCCGCTCTCTTGTGTGTGATTCCTGTTTCAGTCAGGCTGACGACTTTGAATCTTTTCTTTTTCAGCTATTCTGTCTCGATTTAGTGCTGTGCATGGGATCGTTGTCCTGTTCCAGGAGCCAATTTGGGCCAAGCTTTACCTGTCAGATAAATGGCTCACATTTGACTCTAGAATACTTTGGTACACAGAGGAGTTTGTGGTCGACTCAATGAAGTACCCAGGTCCAAAATCATCACATCACCACGGTGTTTGACCGTTATTAGGCATTTGTCTTGATATGCCATGCTTAGTTTTCACCAAAAGTTGAGCTCTCTATTAGGAGAAAAACATCTCCAGTTCTAGGTTTGTTCAGATGTAACTTTGCAACTCAAACCTGTGTTTCCACGGTCTTTTCAGGGAGACGTTTTCTCCTTCCATACAAAATGTACTTTTTCTTTCTCTAGTTGTACAAGTGCACTAGAGTTCAACATGTTTCTCTGTGCATCACATGGTCTGGCCTTGGGGTGATTTTGTTGGAACGCCTCTCATGGGAAGGTTGAGGCATTGTGTAGATGTTTCAGACCAGCAAACTGCCAAAACTTCTGCTTGTGTACTTGAGTTTTTCACAGACTCCTGTTTTTTATAGAACTTTCTCAACTTGTAAAGTGATGTTGTTCCTATTCACTTATTACTTCAGCTTGATGGTGTTCACAACAGCGGTTCGAACAGTGCTTTTAATAAAAGCTAACAGCACTTCTTCATTGAAATGACCTGGATAGTTACCACAGCAGCAATTAAAACACAAATCTTTTGACTTTTGTTGCCATGATGCCAGGTCTCTCTTGGAAATGAGATTTTTAATCTCAATGAGATTTTTACCTGGATAAATAAAGGACTAATAAAATAATAAAATAAAAACAAATCGAGGCCAGTATGAAGGACTGAATGTGTCCCTCAGTGACTGAATGGCAGAATGTAATCTTTGTATTAGCACTTGCTGTGAGCCATTTAAATGGTACACTGTGTGAGCGCAACACACATCACTTGTACATTATAGTACATATCAAAATATTGTCTTATTGTGAAAAACACTTGAGTTAACAAGGTGAAAGAGAAGGAGGTCTAAGATCTTGGAGTGTGTTTCTTTCACTGATTATTAAATCGATTATGATGAAGCGAGACAAAGAAAAAACACACCATGAACTGCAAGGTTGGAAATTTTAATTCTTGCAAAGTTTTTTTCCTAAAATGGGAGCAGGTTTGTTTTTTTTGTTTTTAAATCATAGTTGAAAACATACAGAGAAAAGTTTGGCAACTCAGAACAGGAACAAATGAGTGACTCAATGAAGAGGAAATAATACACTGACATTTACAACAGAATACAGTACAAGTTGTTGAAATTATCCATCAACAAGAAGAACAAAAGTGTCACAGCTGCAGCAGTTTACTGCCATCATGATCAAAGCTGTATTTGTCAAATTTGAAAAATGTCATATTGGAGAGGAAGAAAAAACATTAGAGAAAAAAGTAAAACTCTATGCAGAGGTAGAGCTCAGTGCACAAGGCTATGACACACACACACACACATGCACACGCACACAAACACACAAAACCGGTCTTTGCTATCAGAGGGAGGGGGTACGTTCTCCACATCAGGATTCACCACTGTCAGCCACGCGGCTTCTTTCTGCGTGCAGAGAAAACCACACTGGGCGGTATGTACACACACATACAATAAATAGGATATACAATCTTTCAATATCTCACAACAGCTACTCCAGCATCGTAACTTCCCCCAAAGATGCATTTTGCACTTTTTATTTACCAATCATTCAAAGCGCCACATGCACACACAAAAAAAGCACTTCTCTAAGATCAGACACCACATCAGAGCTTCCTTCATTTTTTCCTCCATGACTTTGGTACAGTTCTGCCGCTCTGCACGCCTGCAGGCCAGACTGATTTTCTGGTAGCTTAGAAAAGCAAAGTAACATAAATCACACTCCTGGAGGCTACCGATGAAATGCACAAGAACAAACCGATGTCACATTTGAAATCAGAACGCGTTTTCCCCCTGATCTTTTTATTTCATTAAAAAGAAATAAAAGTAAGTCCTTAGATTTTTTTTAGATTACATCAAGATTGTGTCTATTCACCGATTTAGATTTAGAGTCTGGTTGATTGTAAGGCAAACAGCCGGTCACATGAAGTTCATTTTTATCCTATCCTCATACACCCAGAACAGCAACTGAACTCAAATCTGTAGACTGGCCTTTTTTCTGTTTTTAAAGGAAAAAACTCAAGGGGAAAAAAAAGGAGGAGGAGGAGGAATCAGGAAGGGAGCCGTT